TTTTGATTGTTTGAAATAAAAAAAAAAAAAAAAACTTTTTTTCTAAATACTTACCATCCACTTGCATTTCCAATGTTTTGACGAAATTAGAAAAAGGAATAAAGTTCGTTTACCTGAAGAATATACATTGTCCTTACTCCTTCGTTATCTGATATCCCCTACACTTTGACGAGTATGGCGGGTATTTTTTAAAAGAAAATATCATTTATTTTACTAGAGTCACGAAGATGGGATAGAAAGTAAGAAAAAGATATTTATATTGGATATTTTTTTTGCATGAATGAAGCAAAGATAACATTAAAAGATTTGTGTTTAGGCTCCGGGCCAATGCAGATAATCTACATGTAACTTAACATTTGAACTTTTGATATTTATCAGAAATATAGCCAGTCCACGTGGAGCTGGCACTAATTTTCGGTCCACGGTTTGTATATATTATGTATTATTGTCAGTACTTTGGGTCGAGAATTCGTGCTAAAATTATGTAAGCCAGTCGCTCTTCGTTGTGCCATATCCATGAATATCTCCTTTTTGGTGGTGGGTCTTGCACACAGTACAAAACACAAAACTTGTTATTTGAATCAATACTAAGTCTATTGTTGTTGAAATTGGTTGGTAACATTTGTTATCACGAGATCAAGGGAGTGCATTTAATACGCTGTAGAAAAAAAAAATCACCATTGCTTATAGTATACTCGGAATTGGACGCCAGCCTTTGCACACCATTAGGAAATGTCGATTTTTTTTAAATGTTAGAGAATAATTAGATGTAATCGTTTTGTCCTGGAGTCAATTTACAAGTAAATGGCTGTATGTAACCATATCGGGAACTGTAACTGGCGCTGCCAAGTTAAGAAATTATTGTTGTCTCCTGGTTTTGGAAATGTCTGGTTAATCCATTATATTAATAATGAACGAGTATTTTACGTTGTTTTAAGTGGTGTTTGATAAACATAGATATATATAGATGGAATTCATAATTTCAGTCGCGGAAATTTCCAACGGCCCATAGCTGTACGGGTAAATATGGTATCTATGTTACGTGTATCGATGAAATTAAGACGGAATGTTGTTTATATATACTAAATAGTTACATTGTTTTCAGATCAAAGTATATTTGATATCTTCAAAATAATGGATTTCATACGTAATTAAGGAATGGAATGTTAAAGTATAAACACATATCCACATAGCGACAAAGCTAAAACATAGTTCACAGTACGTTCACAGTATGTGAATATCGACAATCACTGGAGTTTATTTAAATGTTGACGTTGATACTTACATGTACAATGTATATACTATGTTGACGTTGATACTTACATGTACAATGTATATACTATGTTGACGTTGATACTTGCATGTATAAGCATTTTATCGAGAAGTGTACGATGCGGCCATGATTATATCACAGACATGCATTATTTATTTCGTTTTATCTGGGTTCAGAATGTTTTCATATACTTCCGAGAATTTTAAGGAGGTAGTGGCAAGACGTCTATATCATACAATGATAGATGTAAGAGCTATTAGATTTTCAGGGAAAACCCCGCACAGTCGTGACCAAGTACAAGTCACGGCTAATGCTTTGTTTTCTACTTGGTTTGTTTGTTTTTCAATTGTTCCACAGTCACTCTCCATGTTTCTATAACTAATTTGTATAACCAGCCCCGTTTCAATAAAATATCAATGACAATGACAAAGAATTTATTCTCGTAAACAGAATAGTGTAGAGAATTTAAGTAATTTAGGACATATGCAATACCACATCTACATCACATTAGTACAAATGTAGTTTTTCCGAGTTTAGCCGATCATTAATTATCTTAATAAATTTTACGTGATATCAATTCATCATTAGTAACATAATTAAATAAAGTGATAAATTTAAATGTACTGGGTCTTTCGAAATAATATCTATATTTCTTTCTTTCTATTAACTAATATTTGTTGGTCACTACAATTAAATAAATAATGAAACTCATCTCCAGTTTCGTGAATATTACAAAGGTCACAAAGTCTATTCTCTGTATCATGATGTACATTATTCCATCCGACGATTTCTACAACTAATCTTATATTACAAGTTCTAAATTTATAATAAACCTAAGAAAATCTGGGAGGAAGATCCAGCAAATATTTATTTAGAACCAGAGGAAGTGATCCTTGGGTAATAGCCGTAATGACAACTGTTGTACAGTGTTTTACAGAACATCTTCTCATTCGAAATCTATTCCATATCCCACTTTAATAGTAAAGTGCACACACAATTGTAGATATACCCATATGAATATACAGGAAAATACTGAGTAACTCCAGTAAAATATTCTAAATTAACACTGCATTGTATACCATGGGTATTTATATAGCATAGTGAACGCATAGTAATTATTTTCTCAAAATATTGCCATCATCTGTGCACAGCTCATATTTGAGACGTTTGTCTACGCCACCCCAAAAATGGACTATGTACCACTTGACAAAAACTTGACTTAAACCCCTCTACACGTTTCTGAAGTTACCTGACATAGTTGACATACAAGACTTGACTAAAATAAGATTTAATTATGTTGGTGTGCTAGTATCGCATTCTGTACATTGTAAATCATTACATTGGACTTGCAAAAACAAAAATAAAAAAACCACGGACTTGTTGCTTGAAAATTAAGAACATGGATTGCTTTTGTAAAAACCAAGGAAATAGATCACAAAAAAATAATTGATTTATTAACTGCTGTTTATAAATGTAAGTCATAAATCTTAATGAGAAATAAAATGTACGAGTTCAATGAATTCAAGATTTTCTTTTCACTATGTACTGGAAATGGATAGAAGTATGGCCATCTTCTCGCAGTTTAATTTGTTTAACCAAATCCAGGGGTGTCTTAATCATACGACCCTGACCAAATCAGATTATTTCTTCTTATGTTGAGTGTATTAATGTGTTAAATCATATAGGACACAGAGTCAGACGATGAGAAATCACTGAGTCCACGAAAGAAATAGCTATAGTTCACACCAGTCCAGTAAACCACAGGGGCTCTCAGTTGCGCATCCTTCGAAAGAGCTGACTATATGCACTCATATAAGAATTTGTTAAGTTTTTATGCAAAAGATACTGTTGAACTGGATTATAACATTCTGACTTTTATAATTATCATTGAAAGTGTTTTTGTTGTGATTTTGAACATGGACGAATATTTGATAAAATCACTCATCCATGACTGGATCCATCCTACCTATGGGCTCTCGTGCCTACGACTCCATAAGCGTTAAGGGGACGTAACCCACGGTATCTCTTAGAAATACCTCATAAAAATATGTATAGGTCTATGATTTGAAACTTCATATAAGACAAAAACATCCAAAAGGACAGCCATCTTACTTAGGAAATGATGTTATCCCCAGCAGCAAGGATTCGGTTTTCAACACCCTTTGACGACAAACATTTCTGGACCACAGCAGCAGCAACAGCAGCAGCAAAACTTTGTTTTCAAGACAGTTTTATGAATCCCAACTTCAGAAACGTAATAGTTTTAGATTTAACATTACTGCATTAAATTACAAAGCTGAAAATATCACAAGTTTAAGAATAACATGGAAGTGAAGGTCATAACCTTTTTAGTTTTCGTTTTCTGTTTCACTTTGTTGGAGAGCTAGATCGCTAGTTGAAGTCACAGCGGGAGCAAGACTTTTATATAGATTTACCTTTATATACATCAAGACAGGGATTGAGACGGGGGAGTCACGGAGATGAAATTCCTGTAACCAACCATCCGATCATGACAGGGACCTTTAATACAGAGGGATAAGAAACTAGGCCTAGTGGTGATTTCTCCATTCGCTTTTGTATTTGTTCATTTTGTATTTGTTCACGGAGCCGTGAAGTCCCCTCTTCTTAATCATGTTATTGAAACATTATTTATTTGTGCCTGTATTAAGTAATTATTGTGGACTTTGCACCCACCGGTCTGACAAGTAGACCAGAGCCATACTGATGGCCAGTGAGAAGTAAGGTTCATTTTCGTAACAAAAGTAACACTAATAGATAAAAGTGAAATATCACAAACGGAAAATTACTCAGTATTTAAAGCCATCAGTCTAAAAATGGTTTTCTTCATATTTCGGACAGAAAGTGGTATACAATATAGGATGATATTTCAGTCGTAAATAGCTTAAACCTGTATTTTGTTTTTAAAATATCAAAAGTTGACAGAAATTACTTCTTATAAAACTTAACACAATTAAAAATGATCAAGCTTTCTAATACTGTTTCTGTTGAGAAGATTAGTTGTGTACTTTTGGAGACAAATGGTTTATAAACACAGCAAGGCAGGTTAACGAGATTTTTTTTCACAAAAGCGTTACTATGTGATATAAGCTGTTTCTTATCCCTCTATACTATAGTCACTGATCATATTTAATGGTTATTTAGATCTAACATAAACAATCGTACTGAAGCGTATTCCGGCCACGTTGTCTTTTATTTTATCTCGAAATTTCGAGATAGCAACTTGAATTTTGAGATAGCAACTCGAAATTTTGAGTTAGTAATACGGAATTTTGAGTTAGTAAGTCGAAACCGAAATTTCGAGATAACAACTTACTAACTCAAAATTTCGAGTTGCTATCTCAAAATTTCGGATTACTAACTCGAAATTTCGAGTTAAAATAAAACACAACGTGGCCGGAATACGCTTCCGTACAATCGTTACATAAACGAATTATATATTCAGTTAACAAACGATAACATAAAACATGTCTACACGTCCAATTAGTAAATATGTAACATCAGCAAGTATGATATCACAGATATTCTTATACATGTGAGATCACCACGATTGTTGGAACACGCGTGTGACAGACACAGATAATGAACACTCCCTGGCCTACTTATACGTCACAGGAACAAGTGCTCACTGACTAGACTCCGGTCAGCCACCAGTCAGCTGTGGAATAAGACATTATACAACAACCTCAGACGACTGAGTTTTATGGGCAAGGAGAGACATATCTCGGAAGCGAATTATTGCTATAGGATTCTGAATTAGTAAGTTACAAGCCGATACGAAAATGTTTGTCTTGAAATACCACACGATCTATGAAATTATTTCTATCGCTGGCTTTGGGTGTTTGGTCACGTAGAGACTTCAGTTGCTTGTTCTGGTTTTCTTGATACTGCAGATGATTATATAATTATATGAAATTCGGCAAAGTCGATGTAAGATTCCATTGAATTTTAAAACATTTGTGAATGAAACCTCGGTCGTAATGATGTTCAATGTACAGATACTGGTAAGTGTCGTCCTCGATTATGACCCGATGATACAAGGTTGGGAGTTTCACTGAAAGGGCACAGTGTCTGGCTGACAAAAATGTTTTACTTCAGTTTTCGCATCACTTAGATGCTTATGTCAGTTCCAGAATAAAGTCACCCCAAGTGAATAATTAATTCAGTGATTTCGACCCGAAACTTTTTATATGTGATGTTCACATGTATTAATGCATTAGCAGAATTTATTTTACAACAAAAAAGGAATTGTGAGGAATTTTACTGTTGGAAGAATCCACAGTGATTATAACTTGCAAGACAATATTGATTCCTTCAAAGTTGCTATGTTATTTAAAAAGAAAATAATCACATTATTTATGCCTACCAGATATATAATCACCCATTTTCGAAAGCCAAACTCTAACGCAACCATCTAGATGGATTATGTGAGTTATTGGTGGAAATAAGAATTGAAAGTAGCAAAAAAAAAAGGACATTGTGATACAGTCACATGCAGGTGGTGACTCTAGTATTTTTGTAATATATTTTTAAAGCTCAAAATTCATGAGTGTTGAATTTGATGATTGATTTTGTATGTAAAACCCGAAGAAAGGATAGATGAATAAAGAAGCCTCACTTACAGAGACGAAACTAGTCGAGCAATAAATTACCAAGCTTAACAGATTAGGCTTGGGTATGTTGTGGTTGAAACTACCTTGATTTACCAAAAAATAGATGTTACATTTTCTGGATGTATGGGTCAAAAATTGCCAATTTTACCCACCTGGAGATTGAAAAGTAATTAGCATACACCCATCTTGTGGTGAATTTGCATTAGAGTTATGTTAAGACGATGTCATGAGATGTACATATACAACAGGGAGTGTTTGCTCTATTTACTGGAATCACTTAGCTATCACTGTATCATTTACCTGTGCTCTGGCTGACTGTGAAATATCATTAAAACTGACAATGCAAGTTAAAAAGAAATCATTTTGAGATTAAAAAGAAAAATTTCTGTTTCCCAAATGCTTCAGTGATGTCCCTCATAATGATAATGTCTTCCAGTCAGCATATCAAAGGAAGTGGCAGACATTTTAGCCTAAGCTTGTCCTAAGCATATCTCAGGGTATAAAAGGCTTGCAACCTGTCAAACTGGAGTATATATAGTGGCAGAAAGAAATGAAAGACAAGGTTAACCTGTATGGACACCAAAAAATATATCGCCCCCCAGCACCTAATTAACATCTAACAACTAACCACTAACCCAGTCATTCGGATGGACATTAAAATTGTGGCCTGTGTGTAAATGTCCCTCATCTCTGTATCCCACTCACTCCTATCACTTCCTAAAATTCCCTTCTTCTCACTTTCCTGTCTTTTCTCATCTGCAGAGAGGCCAAAAGGCCTTAATAGTGGATGTAAAACCAGTTAAATACATAAATAAATCCAACCGGTAGTTATTTCAATATTGACTGCCAAAAGTGAAACTCACCTGTATATTATAATAGCATGTGACCCTGAAAGAGTACATTCACTTGAGGATATTGAAATGATATGAATAATCAGTACTTACTAGCTACATTGTATCCAAAATTATATTCAATCAATAGAATAAATATGATAAAAAGAATATACTGAAAATACAGCAAATTCCCTGCTGTCCATCACATGTATCCTGAAACATGTGAATGTGCACTGAATTCTAGACACAACCAGTTTTACTATGTCACTGGAGCTCTTGAAAAATGCTATATAACATACAAGTATTTGTTCATGTTGTCTCAATATTGGTCGTGTAAATACAGGGCTCTCACACCCCATTTAGGAACTGGGGCCCGGAGCCCTTTGAATTAGGAAAAATAATGGTGTTTTCCTTAGAATTGGGAAAACTTGGGGTCTAAATTAAGAAAAAAAATACTATTTTGCATTGGGAATTCGGCCCCAAATCTGGCAGATTGAGAGCCCTGAAATGTTTGACCAGTAAAACAGTCATAGAATTTAAAATTTGACTTGTGACATTTTCTGAAGGTAATATCTGGAAATTGTCAAGCTTACAATACAGGAATTTATTTCTGTATTAAGGACGAACAAGGTATGATTTAGTGTTTGTTGTTATGTTGAGCTTTTTTCCTGAAAAACGCATGGCTCAAGGAGTGTAAATAGTAATGTATATAAATGTGTATTTCTGTTGTATGGCTAATATTGTAGCAGTTTGTTATAGATACATTTTCAAATTCCATTTCCAGATTCTTCCGTTACTCTGAAGAAAAAAATGAAAATGAGTAAATGTATGTTCTTATGCAATGTGTATAGATTTGTTACATTGTGCTATTTTTGAAATAATAACACATTTCCTAGCAATGTTTTGACTTAAATGTCTGCCTCGTTCTTAGATACGATGACCAAACAATGCTGTTAGCTTAGAGGGGAGGTCTTGGAAGCATTCTAAAAATACATTTTTTGTTATTTCAACATGTTAGTTTTCTAACTTGCATTGTCAGCTTTTAGGAATATTTTTTTGCATACCATAGAAGATGAAAAAATTTAAAGCAGGATATCATGTTAAGCAGATATAGAAGTACCAAAACACAATATATGAAAAAATCAACCAGTTAGTGCTCAATTAAGGTATCTGAACCATATGTTAGCAAAACTTTCAGGCAAGACATAATGAAGTATAATTCTTGTATTGATGGGTGTTTTTGTCAGACTGATCAGATTTAAATGGCTGACAGGTGGCCATCCTATGTTTTACCAGATTTTATTTGTTAATCACCATTTGGGAAAGATTATTATGTTGGCAAACAGGATGCTTGCTGAGTGTTTGCAACTTATTAATCTTTCTCTAAGGGTTGAGATCACCATATCTCACCAACAGGGATATGAATGATTATTTTTCTCGTACCCCGCTGGTCTTCATGTAAATGTGTTGTTGTAATGTCAATGCTCTGCATTGTTGACATGACATTGTAGTTATTAAAAGAGCATTCTGTCCTCTCAACTTATCACTGTGGATACACTTGTCAAGGGTAAGAGAAAAGGGGATCTCAACAAAAGGAGGTTGAACTACAGCTCAGAATTTTGTCCAGGCCTTATTGGTTCAGACTTTAATTCCATTCCGAGGTCGAGTAGAATTTTACTATCCTTAAATACCTTTAATGTTTATGACTTCAATATTTCTGAACAAGGCATATTTAATCATACATAGAAAAGAGGAATGAAACTATATATATGTGTGTTGACACAATTAAATATTTGAGTCCTGAACTCCTGCTTTTTCCTGTGGGACTAACTTAGATTTTGAGAACCACTTATGGGGTATATTTCTCAGTAACTGGACTCATCAAAATCTTAGAAGTGATGCTCTAGACTATTCAGAAAAAACCCCTCCAAAATTACTGTGACAAGTTTTAAGTTCCTATAATTGGTCATGCTGGGCTTGATTGTATAGAATTCAAATGAGATTGTTGTGACTCTCTATTTAACGGCACTTGTGTGCTGATGTCTGATCATATGGGGATATATACATATGTAAAAGATATTCCGTATTCTGCTGTATTACATCAGATTTGACAACACGAGGTAATCATGCTGAGCTAAACTGAATAAATTAAACTGCTCCCTCGATGTCACTAAGTATAGCACTGACACACATTTACCTTGTGTTAGTACAGTTCTGACCAGATGAAGATAATAGTGTTGACTAAGTAAACAAACCATGTACCTGTGTGTATATATATACGTTGACATGGCACTATTTTTAACCCTACAATTCGATACCAGGTATACTGTATATATACTGTATGACAGTACTAAACAGTTAGGTAGTGGGGCTGGAAATTTCTACCACATCACAGTGATACTAAATGCAATTTATTCTGCTGAAGTAATTTCAGTCATTCTTATAAATACAACAGCAAAAAAAAAAAAAAAACCCACTTCAGTTGTATTTTTTATTTCATTCATTGACAGTATAAGTGTACATGATATGTATAGAGAAAGCTATATGAAGGCACTCTTGGCAATCCGCAATTCAAAAGAAAAAATATAGATAAGAAACAAATTTCATTTTTAATAAGTGATAGGTATATGGGAAAGTAACAGGGTGGATGTAAAATCATTATAAGTCATTAGGATTGGATATAATCAAGATTTAGTAAGGATCCTATAGCATTAGATAGAATGTCATTTCATGTGATATAATGATACCTGAACGATACGTTTCACTGTCAGAGCAAGTATAACTATGTCTTAAGTCAACTTGATCTCTTTGTCATATATGACATTATGGTCAGTATAAATGACAGTGTTGCGGGTAAAACATCATTTTCTTTGTTAGGAGATAATATAAACCAGATAAACCATTCAGTGCCACTCTTTTATCCAATTTCTTTTCTAGATAGCTAGGGCACAGGGAACTTATATCACTCATCTACTTAATAAATTCCTGAAATTTATTTCCTGGCTGAAAAATATCAAAATTGTGTTGAAATTTCATGGTTGACATTAAGAATTAATTAGGTCTGAATGGTAACTGCTAGTAATTTTAACATACACTGATTGGTAACTGCTAGTAATTTTAACATACACTAATTGGTAACTGCTAGTAATTTTAACATACACTAATTGGTAACTGCTAGTAATTTTAACATACACTAATTGGTAACTGCTAGTAATTTTAACATACACTAATTGGTAACTGCTAGTAATTTTAACATACACTAATTGGTAACTGCTAGTAATTTTAACATACACTGATTGGTAACTGCTAGTAATTTTAACATACACTGATTGGTAACTGCTAGTAATTTTAACATACACTGATTGGTAACTGCTAGTAATTTTAACATACACTAATTGGTAACTGCTAGTAATTTTAACATACACTAATTGGTAACTGCTAGTAATTTTAACATACACTAATTGGTAACTGCTAGTAATTTTAACATACACTAATTTTTTGCTGTATTTTCTTCCACAGATTTGAAATATTCAATATGAGTGAAGGTATGGTAGATTCAGAGATCCCACTAGAGGCTGGTGGAGAGACAGCCCCCATAGAAGAGGGATTGTTCTCGACACTAGATTTCTTCATTTTGTCAGCATTGGCTGGTGTCTGTATATACTACTTCTTCTTCAAGAACAAGAAACAAGAAGAACCAACATTTAAGAAGCTAACGGTACAGTAAGTATGTTTTAAGATATGTTGACATTGGTGGTGAAGGAATCTGATTTATGTATATACACTGTACCTGAGGGATAATTAAAGACAGTTATCAATCGCAACAAGTTCAAGGTAAGTTTTCGGTTATAGTAATAACCGAAAACTTACCTGGAACTTGTTGCAATTAATAACTGACTTTGATTGCCCCTATTCCTCAATCGCCCTGCATACCGGGCTAGGTATCCAAGGGAAGGGTATCTGGAACATTATACCTCTATACTAGAAGTGTCACGGTGTTGGCTCTACCCCTCCACTCCCTACCCCTGAGAGATTGAGAGATAATTATATACAATACTGTGACATGAGGGATGGGAATTGGGGTTGATATTTGGGTTTTCTTATGCTTTTATATCTTGATAGACAACAGTGGGGAATATTAGAACATAATATTATTATTATTGGAATGGTTTTTCAGAGTCCTTGATACTTATCTAACAATTGTAATTACAGCCACACAGAGTTTGAAATACTAGTAAATTTCATTTTGCAACCTTTAAGACTTTACCTGTTTTTAAGAGTATTCAGTATATGCAAAACAATCTATTTTCAGGCCAATGCAGGACCAAGCTAGTAATGCTGGATTCATAGAGAAGATGAAAGCCTCAGTAAGTCTTCAGATCTCATACTGCACAGTTATATACAATATATTAATGTTTACATGAAAAACATATTTCATCAATTGTTGATCTGTTTGAACTACCAAGCATGATTGTGATTATCTGCCAAGAATCAGTCATTTGTACGTGCTGTGTAATTATAAATGAAATCAAGTATGCCTGTCTTATATGATTCATCAGAAATTTGAGAAAAAAATGGTTTTTAAAATGCTGTCAAAAAAATAACCTGATCAAGCTATCTTACCCTCAAGCTTTTCCTTCTGAATCAGAACTTTCAGTACACAGCAAAGGCTTCTTTCAGTTCACAGCAAAGGCTTCTTTCAGTACACAGCAAAGGCTTCTTTCAGTACACAGCAAAAGCTTGAACTTTCAGTACAAAGCTAAAGTTTGAACTTCAGTACACAGCTAAAGTTTCGTTAAAGTTTCAAACGATCACTAACAGCAAAAACTTATTTTGGTTAGAGGCTCATCCGTGGTTAGTTTATAAAAATTGGAGATATCGACAAAACGAAGAAAAACATCAATATATCATTTTTTGATGGGGGGAATGACATGCACAACTTTTAGAATAAAAATTTTTAAAATCATTTCACAAAGTTTATTGTAAAATCATGGTTTGATACTTTGCTACAGGTAATTTTTGTTGTCAGCTACCATATACATACAATACAACCCCGGTAGTATGCAAGGAATTATGTATTTTTGGTACATGGCTTTTTCTCAAATGTTGTACTGAATTTTTACATTAAACACCATTTAAATTTTAATTGTGATTTTCTTCTAGGGAAGGAATGTGATTGTGTTTTATGGATCGCAGACAGGAACAGCAGAGGAATTTGCTGGACGTTTGGCTAAAGATGCCACATGTTATGGGATGAAGGGAATGGTTGCAGATCCTGAAGAGTGTGAAATGGTGAGCTTGTCTGTATTCTTAATCTAACCATTAGGATCGAGATTTCATTGAAAAAAAAGATTTTTCAAATACTGTATACCAATATATTTTCATCCCTGTACCATAATACATTAATTTTGCCTCAGTAACTTCTGATAAGTTCTGGTAACACTGTTAGATGGATCTGTGGGAGGATTTGGTAGAGTTCTTTACCATGTTACAACATGATGATACCTGAACATACCACAGAAATCACAAGATTTTATAGCTCTAAATCAACATTTTACTACCAAATACTCTTGACATTTAATCTTCAATCTTTATATACTGTAAAATCACAAATTTTTGTGGGGTTCAATTTTTTTAGTTTTTCGAAAAAAAATCCTGCACATTTGATTAAGTGGCTCAATAAATCTGATCTATGTATTATCGTCCGTTGAAAGGCTGAATGGCTGAAAGGTCATAATTGTGGACATGAAAATTGATAAATTAAGTGATAGATCTATTTATACTAATTTCAAGATTTTGTGGGCACATGAATTCATGGATTAAGTGTACCAATGAAATTAAGAAAATAAACCCCCACAAAAATTAAAATGAGTTTACAGTAGAAGGGCATTGACACTTAACACAACTTTTAAATTTCATTACTGCAGGAGGATCTTGTTAAATTGAAAGAAATTGACAATGCGCTGGCTATATTCTGCATGGCAACTTATGGAGAAGGCGACCCCACAGATAATGCTCAAGAATTTTATGATTGGCTACAAAGTACAGACTCTGAGCTAAATGGAGTAAAATTTGCTGTAAGTAAGAAAGTCTTTTTCTTAAGAGATTTTAATTTGCTATCATGTACTAATTAGAAATTAGACATTTTTTTAATCTGGATTTTTTTCCCCAGAAATTTTGTTAAAACATATTTCCTTTTAATATACCCAATGTGGCGATAATACTATTTCAAAAAGTCCTTTCCTTGCTGAAAGTATTGTACAGAAGTATTGTAGACACTAACTGCAGTTCTTGTATGTTGACATTATAGGATATCATTGTGGATATGCTAATTAAACCTTGCAGAATTGATTAAAACTTGATATGGGTTAGAAGTATGCTTAACGTATTCCACTTTGTTGAAAATAAAAACTTTAACTAACCTTTCAGAAAGTGAGTTAATTTTAAAACATTGTTTTTCAATCTGTAACAGGTTTTTGGTTTAGGAAATAAAACCTATGAACACTTCAATGCTATGGGGATTTTCATGGACAAGAAACTAGAAGAGCTTGGAGCAGAGAGAATATTTGAACTTGGATGTGGAGACGATGATGGAAAGTAAGAAGATAGTCTCGTGACAAACAAATTTCTGCTAAAGATAGAAGAATTTGTGACATTTCAGACCTTAAATTAAATAACAAGCTTTTAATGAAAGATGAAGGGTGAACAGGTACAGTTAAATTAGTATAACAGAAAAAAAATTTAACAGTGAAAATAATCTAACAGAAAACCATACAACAAATCATATACCAGCGAAAATAACATTACAGAGAAAATTATATCAGGGAGAAAAATAATATACGAGAAAATAATTTAACAGAGAAAATTAATCAAAAGTGAAAATTATTTGATGCAGAGAAATATCAGAACAGAGAGCAATTCATTAAGAAAATTGATATAACAGAGAAAAGGCTGTAATGGAGAAACATAATATACCAATAAATAGGATATGACAAAGAAAAATAATCACATGATGTTTAACTATCACCTGTATTACTGATATACCTTATATATTATTTCAGCATTGAAGAAGATTTTGTTACATGGAAAGAAAAATTCTGGCCCGCTGTTTGTGAACACTTTGGAGTTGAAGCAACAGGAGACCAATTCAAGTAAGTATTTGATTGTGTCATTGTTTTTGTCATAAATATTGAATGTTAGATTTTAGTGTGTGTATTCTCACATAGAGGATTGTAGTGTAGGGAAACCTGTACATGTAGACATGATTATGAAAAATTGTTTCACTTGAAACTGTAATGTGATTCTGCTGGCAAAGAGGATAATTCCAGTATTTTATTAAAAATGTGTCTAAATCTATTTTTATACAAACATATAGTTTTAGTTTTCTAGTGTGTTGGTCTACATAACTTCAAATGAAGTGTGTGGTCTGATGCTCCCTACCTGTGATAGTTTGTGGGCAATAAATCAAGGAAAACATTTTAAAAGATTTGCTTTAGCCTGTTTAATAGAAATAAAGTTTGTATTGATGAAACATGGAATTAACAACATGGTGGTGGTAATGTTTGTTTTCAGTATACGTCAATACAGTCTCTCCACACACGATGACTTACCAAATGAGAAAACATACAAAGGAGAGATAGCAAGACTTGGATCATTCAGAAACCAGAAACCGTAAGATTGATTTCTCTATTAGTGGATATCTCATTGTCACATTTTTATGGAACAGTCATGTGAAGAAAGCATGATACTTCCAACCAGTTGATTTTTGTTATCATATTAGCCAGTTTTTCAATTCACTTGACACAAAGAGGCAGTTAGCTTATATTATGGTAAGGTGAAGTGTCTGTCATCTGTCTGTTGGTCAATCTGTCAGTCAATGAATTTATACAACATCTTCTTGAAAACTGTAAGTAAATATGTACTGATATTGACCTGTAGGGTTGTATGCCGTAACATCTTCAGATAAATGAACTGGACTTATTGTGTAGGTCACAGACTGAGGGGTCTATGATGTTAAAGATAAATTCCAAGAATATTCTTTTTTTATTTCTAAACATCCATGGTTAAAAGTGTCAAATATGTTAAAAACCTTTAAAAATCATAATCTTGTTCTCTAGATTTGTTAAAATCCAGGGAGTCATCATTTACCGAACAGGTTCATCTCATCTAGTTCTTCTCCTATAGATGACGTTGACCTATTTTTAATGTCACTTTGTGTCAAATATGTTACAAGCCATAAAAATCTTCTTTTCAAGTCCAAGAAGTCCAACTCATGGCACTGAGGAGGCATTCAAGTCCTTGAACTTTATTTCATTTCAATGTCACAGAGGTCAAATTTGCAATAATTATTTGGTTAGTTTAAGAAAACCTGTTCATTTCTAACGTACATTGTCACCTTGAACAGAAATATTGGAATGCATGATGACTATTTTGCTGTTGTTACAATGTGATACAGGGCTTCTGGACCTCTTGATCTTTTCAGGCCATACGATGCCAAAAACCCATACCTAGCACCCGTTATTGTGAACCGGGAGCTGCACAAGGGTGGAGACCGATCCTGCATGCATATTCAATTTGATATCAGCGGCTCAAAAATCAGGTACACTTCACATATTATGTATCAGAGGGATCCTTTCTCAAATTTTAGTTGATCATGAATAAGGGGAATTTTAGTTTATAAGAAAACAAGTTCATAGTATCTACGCTGATATGTTTTATTTTGACAGTTTAAGATAAAATCCCTCACTGCAGTCCTCTTGGATACTGTATTGAATTTTTCATGAAATGAAATGCATACAAAGCAATTTACGGTTTACAGATCTCAAATCATTTAGTTAGCATTGTGTCCCTATTTAAGGTACGAAGCAGGTGATCATGTAGCTGTATATCCCGTTAATAACCAGGATATTGTAAATGCGATTGGAAAACGTCTTAATGCAGACCTGGACCAGGTTTTCACCCTTACCAATGTTGATGGTGAGTTCTTTAAAAGTTAGAAATATTTCCAGTTATCAGTTTTGTTTGTGACATTTGCTGGAAAAATCATCACTGCTGATGTTTTATCAGAGTTATGATCAACTTTATAATAAAATATAAACTTACAGCTATTGAAGACACATACATTAACACAATGGCAAAGGTTGTAATTTGGTGAATTTTAAGGACTGGAAATCTGGTTACAAGACAGATCTTGTTTGTAGGGTTCTGTAAAACATTTATTAACTGGTATTAAGATTAATTGACTTTGTCTATGATTGTTGATCATTTGTACTATCTGAAATTGCTTTAATTAATTTAAAGATAAAGATTTATAACTTTATAACCACAATTTACCAATAAATTTCTCCAAAACCAACAGTTCCTTTGATCAATTTTCCAGATAAAGACTTGAAGTTTTGCATGTTACCACCATGTACCAGACGTGAAATTTTCTCCAAAACCAATACATTAAATCTGAGTTTAATTTGAAATGTTGTATATATAACACACGCACAAGTAATGTATTTGTTCAACAGTGAGATGAAAAAAAGTATTCTCTTGGATTTCAAAGGGCAAGTTGATAAAATTATCACATTATCACAAACTGATCTGCACTGTGTTTGGAATACAGAAACATTATCACATTCTGATCTGTACTGTGTTTGGAGTACAGAAACATTATCACACACTGATCTGTACTGTGTTTGGGTTACAGAAACATTATCACACACTGATCTGTACTGTGTTTGGGTTACAGAAACATTATCACACACTGATCTGTACTGTGTTTGGAGTACAGAAACATTATCACACTCTGATCTGTACTGTGTTTGGAGTACAGAAACATTATCACACACTGATCTGTACTGTGTTTGGGTTACAGAAACATTATCACACACTGATCTGTACTGTGTTTGGGTTACAGAAACATTATCACACACTGATCTGTACTGTGTTTGGGTTACCATTATCACACACTGATCTGTACTGTGTTTGGGTTACAGAAACATTATCACACACTGATCTGTACTGTGTTTGTGTTACAGAAACATTATCACTCTGATCTGTACTGTGTTTGGGTTACAGAAACATTATCACACACTGATCTGTACTGTGTGTGGAGTACAGAAACATTATCACACTCTGATCTGTACTGTGTTTTGAGTACAGAAACATTATCACACACTGATCTGTACTGTGTTTGGAGTACAGAAACATTATCACACACTGATCTGTACTGTGTTTGGGTTACAGAAACATTATCACACACTGATCTGTACTGTGTTTTGAGTACAGAAACATTATCACACTGATCTGTACTGTGTTTGGGTTACAGAAACATTATCACACTCTGATCTGTACTGTGTTTGGAGTACATTATCACACACTGAAACATTATCACACACTGATCTGTACTGTGTTTTGAGTACAGAAACATTATCACACTCTGATCTGTACTGTGTTTGGGTTACAGAAACATTATCACACACTGATCTGTACTGTGTTTGGGTTACAGAAACATTATCACACACTGATCTGTACTGTGTTTTGAGTACAGAAACATTATCACACACTGATCTGTACTGTGTTTGGGTTACAGAAACATTATCACACTCTGATCTGTACTGTGTTTTGAGTACAGAAACATTATCACACACTGATCTGTGCTGTGTTTGGGTTACAGAAACATTATCACACACTGATCTGTACTGTGTTTGGGTTACAGAAACATTATCACACTCTGATCTGTACTGTGTTTTGAGTACAGAAACATTATCACACACTGATCTGTACTGTGTTTTGAGTACAGAAACATTATCACACACTGATCTGTACTGTGTTTGGGTTACAGAAACATTATCACACTCTGATCTGTACTGTGTTTGGGTTACAGAAACATTATCACACTCTGATCTGTACTGTGTTTGGAGTACAGAAACATTATCACACTCTGATCTGTACTGTGTTTGGAGTACAGAAACATTATCACACTCTGATCTGTACTGTGTTTGGGTTACAGAAACATTATCACTCTGATCTGTACTGTGTTTGGGTTACAGAAACATTATCACACTCTGATCTGTACTGTGTTTGGAGTACAGAAACATTATCACACTCTGATCTGTACTGTGTTTTGAGTACAGAAACATTATCACACACTGATCTGTACTGTGTTTTGAGTACAGAAACATTATCACACTCTGATCTGTACTGTGTTTGGAGTACAGAAACATTATCACACACTGATCTGTACTGTGTTTGGGTTACAGAAACATTATCACACACTGATCTGTACTGTGTTTGGGTTACAGAAACATTATCACACACTGATCTGTACTGTGTTTGGGTTACAGAAACATTATCACACACTGATCTGTACTGTGTTTGGGTTACAGAAACATTATCACACTCTGATCTGTACTGTGTTTGGAGTACAGAAACATTATCACACACTGATCTGTACTGTGTTTGGAGTACAGAAACATTATCACACACTGATCTGTACTGTGTTTTGAGTACAGAAACATTATCACACACTGATCTGTACTGTGTTTGGGTTACAGAAACATTATCACACACTGATCTGTACTGTGTTTGTGTTACAGAAACATTATCACTCTGATCTGTACTGTGTTTGGGTTACAGAAACATTATCACACACTGATCTGTACTGTGTTTGGGTTACAGAAACATTATCACACACTGATCTGTACTGTGTTTGTGTTACAGAAACATTATCACTCTGATCTGTACTGTGTTTGGGTTACAGAAACATTATCACACACTGATCTGTACTGTGTTTGGAGTACAGAAACATTATCACACACTGATCTGTACTGTGTTTGTGTTACAGAAACATTATCACTCTGATCTGTACTGTGTTTGGGTTACAGAAACATTATCACACACTGATCTGTACTGTGTTTGGGTTACAGAAACATTATCACACTCTGATCTGTACTGTGTTTGGAGTACAGAAACATTATCACACTCTGATCTGTACTGTGTTTTGAGTACAGAAACATTATCACACACTGATCTGTACTGTGTTTTGAGTACAGAAACATTATCACACTCTGATCTGTACTGTGTTTGGAGTACAGAAACATTATCACACTCTGATCTGTACTGTGTTTTGAGTACAGAAACATTATCACACTCTGATCTGTACTGTGTTTTGAGTACAGAAACATTATCACACACTGATCTGTACTGTGTTTTGAGTACAGAAACATTATCACACTCTGATCTGTACTGTGTTTTGAGTACAGAAACATTATCACACACTGATCTGTACTGTGTTTGGAGTACAGAAACATTATCACACTCTGATCTGTACTGTGTTTTGAGTACAGAAACATTATCACACTCTGATCTGTACTGTGTTTTGAGTACAGAAACATTATCACACACTGATCTGTACTGTGTTTTGAGTACAGAAACATTATCACACTCTGATCTGTACTGTGTTTTGAGTACAGAAACATTATCACACACTGATCTGTACTGTGTTTGGAGTACAGAAACATTATCACACACTGATCTGTACTGTGTTTGGGTTACAGAAACATTATCACACTCTGATCTGTACTGTGTTTGGGTTACAGAAACATTATCACTCTGATCTGTACTGTGTTTGGGTTACAGAAACATTATCACACTCTGATCTGTACTGTGTTTTGAGTACAGAAACATTATCACACACTGATCTGTACTGTGTTTGGAGTACAGAAACATTATCACACACTGATCTGTACTGTGTTTGGGTTACAGAAACATTATCACATCTGTACTGTGTTTGGGTTACAGAAACATTATCACACTCTGATCTGTACTGTGTTTTGAGTACAGAAACATTATCACACACTGATCTGTGCTGTGTTTTGAGTACAGAAACATTATCACACTCTGATCTGTACTGTGTTTGGGTTACAGAAACATTATCACTCTGATCTGTACTGTGTTTGGGTTACAGAAACATTATCACACACTGATCTGTACTGTGTTTGGAGTACAGAAACATTATCACACTCTGATCTGTACTGTGTTTTGAGTACAGAAACATTATCACACACTGATCTGTACTGTGTTTTGAGTACAGAAACATTATCACACTCTGATCTGTACTGTGTTTGGAGTACAGAAACATTATCACACACTGATCTGTACTGTGTTTGTGTTACAGAGGAAGCTAGTAAGAAGCACCCTTTCCCCTGTCCAACCACATACCGGATCGCTCTGTCCCACTACGTAGATATTACAAGTATGCCACGTACCCACATCCTTCGTGAACTAGCAGAATACGGTAATGAAAAGGACAAAGAATTCCTTGTGAAAATGACATCTTCATCACCAGAATCTAAGGTATCTTGATAAAGTATTTTGTTTGTTCACTTGGAAATAATGATTTAGACTTTGTGTTCACTTTATATAGAGTTATGGCCCTTTTTTGTGTCCAGGTTCATCAACAAATCTGCTACTGTTGCTTATTTACAAAAACTCATGAAAAATACCACAGGAATATACTTAAGCAAATTTGATACCCAGTTTTGAAGTGTGGACTCCAATATTTTATGGCTACTTTGACTGTTTAAATATGATTTGATGGTTGGTCATACTATTGCATGATTTTACTCTTCAAAATGGTATATCATACGTTTCAATAGGCATTGTACAGTGAATGGATTATCAAGGATCATCGAAACATTTTGGCAGTCCTTGAGAGCTTACCATCTCTAATGCCACCTGTGGACCACTTACTGGAATTGTTGCCAAGGTTACAGGCCAGGTATTACTCCATTTCATCATCACCAAAGGTATGACCATTTTTACAGATTTTCTATTCAACATTTAATACCCTGAAAACTCGCAAAATAAGATACAGCTTATTTTGTATAATAGGAAGCAGATGCAAGTTTAGTCAAGTAAGATACTATAGGCTTATTTTCAAGATAGGCTCATTTTCAGAATTGGGTTTTTTGGTTTTTTTTGGCTGGTTGACAAGAGTGGTCAAATATGTTAGTGACCTCCATACATTTGATCTTATGAAAAATTTCTGAAACATGAATATGAATAAAAATACTGTTAGTCTTTCAAAATAACTGCTTTATTTCACCGACACTCTCTGTAGGTTTCAGTCATTAATGTTGAAAAATCATTAATGTAGGGCTCAAATTTTGTGATTTTCAAAAAAACATACTTTTTCATTGGCATTTGATTTAGTGGTCATAAATCTTGCTTACCAACTCAGCTAATACAATAATCCATGAAAATTTAATCCCTGAATATAAATTCAGAAAATTATAAGATACATGAATTCAATAACGGGTCATAAGCCACTGTTGCACTTGGCTGCTTTTGAAGTATAAACCATACTATACAGGTATATCGATTACATACCCTTCAACTGGTTATACTGACATGCTGTAATTTTGAAACATCAGACCTGATGCTTGATTTATTTTAATGTTATCAATGAAGGAGACACTTGAAACATAAAAAGGACAAGGATATACTGCACAATCATTCATTTTTGTGGGTATTTAATTTTTTTGTTTATTTTGTGGGTATTATCAGTCCTTGAATTAATACCGGTATGTCCACTAAATGATGTATAGATAAACATTGACATGAATTTTAGTACGAGTTGATTTTGTGAGAAAGATTCATCAAAAAAAATAAAATGCCATCAGAGGAGCATGTTTTTATGAAACCACAAAATTTTGGTATCACGAAACTATATGAATTTACAGAATATGTATTTGTTTTCTATTGGCATTCAGTAACAGATGTTCGATTTTAACAGGTTTATCCAACATGTATCCATATCACAGCTGTTCTTGTCAAATACACAACTCGCACAGGGCGTGATGTTGAGGGTGTCGCCACAAACTGGCTTGCACTCAAACAACCTAACAATGGTACCCAGTCACTGGTACCAATCTATGTCCGGAAATCCCAGTTCAGGCTTCCATTCAAGACAAACACACCCGTGATCATGATTGGGCCAGGAACAGGTCTTGCACCTTTCATGGGATTTATACAGGAGAGACAGCATGTACGCAAAGATGGTAAGAACAATTTTTTTATAGAAAATGTCTGTTCGGAAGAAGATATTGAATTGAATGAATTGATTATCAAAATTATACTTCATGAAAAATTATTAACATGCCAAAATCCACCGTACCTGGATAAACAGAGAATTCACTCTCGCTGGAAGTTTATGAATGAGTTGGTTCTTGAAAAGTGTCTCGATGAATATTTGTAGTAGTCCTTTCTTGAAAAGCATCATATTGAATATTTGTGGCAGTCATTTTTTGAAAAGCATCCTAGTGAATAGTGTCGCAGTGAAAATTTGTAATACCTGGTAGTCTGTTCTTCAAAAGCACCTTATTGAATATTTGTTATAGTTGGTTCTTGAAAAGCATTTCAGTAAATATTTGTTATAGTCAGTTCCTAAATAGTATCTTTGTGAATATTTGTGATAGTTGGTTCTTGAAAATGACTAGAGGAAAAGATGATATCTGGAAAAAGTAGTCATTTTGGTTATTGCAAATATTTGTTAATCTATGTTCACTTTTGGATAATTTTCATGGTTGGATAAATTTGCTTTTGTCATTTTTATTTACATTAGGATTTGTAAATATCACGGTAAATTTGCTTCAATTTTTCATTATACAGGAAAGAAAGTGGGTGACACAGTGTTGTATTTTGGCTGTCGTCATAAGACAGAAGACTTTCTCTATGAGGAGGAGTTAACAGAATTTCAGAATGATGGCACACTTTCAAAAATGCATGTGGCATTCTCTCGTGATGGGCCAAACAAGGTATATGTGCAGCACCTACTGGGTAATAACAAAGAGGAAGTATGGAAGATGCTTGATGCTGGAGGCCATATATATGTTTGTGGGTAAGTAATCTGCAAATACTGTAATACATTTGGCTTCATATATATGGATGTCTGTTTGTCCATCCAACCTTTTTTCCAGGGAGATTTCTTGATGCTACTATTCTATGAATTTTTACATGGTGATATGTTTTGTAGAAAAAGTTTGGTAACACTTTTAAATGCAATAAAAGGTTGATGAAGTTCCTTATGGGTCAAGGTCAAGTTTGTTTTGTCTATAGTTAGAAATTCTATAGCAGATATATTTCATTTGCATACAACACAAATGACCCATTCTCACCAATAATTATTTTGTCTTAATAATACATTTTACTATCAGATTTCTTCCATTCTACTCTCCCACCCTTTGAATGTCTGAAAAATATCTATAATCTGTGTGTTTATACTATCTTACTGTGCAGTTCTCTGATGTATGATGTGAAGTCTGCAATTTTTATCGTCTGGTGACCATAAAGCAGAAGCTATATGACTTTAACTTTAGTCAGCATCCACATCAAAGTTGTCTAGACTCAGTCTCTAAGAATGTTTTTATTTAGTGAAATTGTTTTGTGCATATAGGTAGACCAAAGAGTACAGAAAATAGCCTAAGACTATAAAACTATCCAAAAAAAACCTCTATCCAATTCTGTTTGTTAGTGAAGTTGAAGATAGATATTTGGTATTTCAGACTCAAATATATTCTATTGTTTAATATGCAAGCACATCCTTTCGAATTTTAACCATAAAAATGAGACAATAAATCATATATGCACAGTAACAATTATGAGCGATACATGAAATAAGAAGACAAAAATAAGTGTTGAAAAATGTTCTTTTAATCTTTTCAGTGATGCAAGGAACATGGCACGTGATGTCCATGAAACACTAATCAGAGTCCTGGTGGAATGTGGAGGCATGGAGCAGCAGGCTGCCTTAGACTACATCAAGAAAATGCAATCTAAGGGACGCTACTCTTGCGATGTGTGGAGTTGATCTTATTCTTAGTGTAGAATAGTGAAGGTTTTCATAATGTAGTTCTGATTTTTTTTATTAAGAATCAACACCTGAAGTGTTTTTTTCACTGCGAGTGTTGGATTCACTGAACCAGAGAGTCAGATATCATAGAAGGCTAAACATTGTTTGATATACTCTCAGACAGCTACTAGTCGAAAATGAGTCATGCTGGCAGACATCGGTTAAGAAGAAAAAAAAAATGAAAAAAAAATTGTTGAGCAGTTATTTTGTTAATCATACAACAAGATATAATTAAATAGTAATGCCAAACCATTCGCAAATCAATTTAATCGTCAATTTTTTCTACTTCTTTCTTCTACGGAAAAATTTCATATCATAGCTACATACATAAATACATTCAAGAGGTGTGACATCATTTGTGTTTTGATTCCAAATTTTCAGCTGTATGGTATATTCTACAGGATCTTTGGTAATCTCTCCGATCAACTTTATAACAATATTTTTTTTTTTTTGGCCTGAAAATTTAATGCAATATTGTATATAATCATTTTCTTGTAATGATGAAAAGACAGAAAAAAACACCTGTAATGATGAATGTGTATAATGTGTAAAATAGATTGTATATCTGTGTACTCGTTAGTAGAATTTGTAAACAATTTTTGTGATTGTTAAGTGAATTCCAATTTAGTATGTTAATAGATTGGATGTAAATATTTATCAGAATTCATCATTCCTCTGTAGGCTAAATCTGTCTTTCCAAACCTAATAAGTTTGATTAATGAATTCTTCAACTATAAATGTTCAAAAGCAATATTTTTGAGAAAAGTTTTGATAAAACATATTCATAATCATTGTCTTAATATTTATTCATCCCCTGATATGTAATTTCCAATACACCCCCCACCCACCTCTACCAAAAAAATTATTTTAATATACAGTAATATTTTATGTTACTTCAGATGTTCAATAAGAATTTGACATTAAATTGTAACATTTTTCTTCAACACAAAGAGTGAAAATGAACTATAAAATGGTATGTAAGGAAAAGTGAAATGGAGCTCAGACTAAGCTAGCTATATTTAAGGATATAAAATCTGTATGTAGGAACTAAGACAATAAGGAAAAGGTATGCTATATCGAAGCATTGTATTTTATACTTGCTGTTAATTGATTGAAACTCTTGAATGAGCCCTAGGAGCAGACTTTGTGAAGCATTATTACCTCAGTTAAAAGCACATAAAGTTGCATACATACAAAAAAATTGACATCTTTAAAATTTATTTGAATATATAAAGATATTTTGATTTTTAAGAAATTATTTTTCTTGTATGTTGTGTACTGGTATGTAAACTGCAGTTTTTTTTCTAGATATTTGAAATGATGTGTGTAAGAAAATGCAGTTTACACACCAGTGTATATACAAAAAAATATTTTTTTAAAGTTTATATTTACACATTTTTATTTATGCTACTTTAAATAAATAATAATTACTATTCATTGTACATTATGATCATAGTTATAACAGTCAGACAACTTATGTATTAGCAAAATAACTGATTCCATTAAGGCATGAAAGGGTGTCCAAAATGAAATGTACTGAAGTGTAAAGATCAATTTTGTTGGTAAGGTCAAACAGAGAATACACACCAGAAATGTAAATATTCACTAAATAAATGTTATTTATTTGAAAATATGCTTTTATCTGTTAATAAACTTCCTATCCCCAAACATTGATCATAAGTAGATTACCAAAACACTCTTCTGCTTGGAGATAGAAATCATCCCCCTCTCCCTTAACTCATTACAGTATTAGTGATACACATAATTAGTCTTTGTTAATCTAGTCCCATTTGAGGTTCATGATTCCCACCATTACTTGCATGCTTTCCTATCGGCCAATTTTACATTTCCCAATATTTCTTGGACCAAAGTGTTTACATTTATCAGTATCGTCATTTTCTAGCTCTTGTATGATTTGACTACAAATGATATTTTTATTCAAGATTCAGACAAAGACCAAATGTTATCAATTCACATCACAAGCCATTTTCAATCCTAGTTACGGTTCGTTATCAGCTATATGTACGGTATTTCAGAACATATTCTTCAGGTTGGTAATGTCAATAGAATAGAAGTTCTTATAACACAACCAGTAGAAGATTAGAGTGTGATGTTTCAATGACTACATGGTCACCTTCATGAGACGAATGGCCAATGTGAAGTGTACCAGGAATGACATTCCTAGTGTACAAGATGTTAACAAATTGACAAACTTTTCCATCTGTACTAAAATCTGATGTACATTAAAGAAAAATAAATGTGACAAGATGGTAAACAGATTATAGAAAGAAAGAAAATTCCTCAAAATGGTAAAAGTGCATCATAGGGGATCTGGTTACATTTTGTTCAACACTTCTTTGCCATCTGACATATCACATACATTAGTACTCGTACACTTCGCACTGGTCATTTGTCTGATGAAAGTGATTGTGTAGTTGTTGAAGTGATAAACTATATTGTCTACTAGTTGTCTGATAACTTACATTCTGCATCTGTTGTTAATAATATATTGTCTACTAGTTGTCTGATAACTTACATTCTGCATCTGTTGTTAAAAACATTAGGTCTCAGCACTGTTTACCCCTGAGATATTATCAACAGTATTTATATCAAAGTTGTATAATAGTTGCTATCATGATTGCACCGAGTTATTCTGCTTCTTAGAATCTCTTGTGTCGAAGTTAAAAGACTTCACTTAGGTCAGTATACCACAAGATTTTGGAGGTGATGACATATTGGAAAATGTGTCTGAGAGACAAAAATCCAATCTTTCTAATTTTTGAATTCTACAAATACTATTACAACACAGCCAGATGATAAAGTTTTATTAAGTTATTCCAAATTAGACTAAAATACTTGGTTTGAGATTTTCCAAATTAGACTAATACAATTGGTTGAATATTTTCCAAATTAGACTATCAGTGATACACTTGATTGAAGATTTCCAAATTAGACTAATACACTAGATTACAGATTTGCCACTATGTTTTCCTTAACTCTTTGTTAATTAAGGATCATCAGCTTAAGTCTTTATATAAGATATTTTTCCTTTTAAAATTAGATATATCTTGATATGTGAAGGATATATTATACTGTAGAGGTCGTTTACAGAGTTGCCCAAACAGCATATCTAAAGTCATCTATGCATTTCAAAAGAGATCTTGATCGTGACATGTACATAAAGCTGTAATTAAGTTTGATTTAAAATCATTACATTAAATAAGGAAAAAATGCATGAAACATTGTATAAACAGTAATTGTGCAATATTTGATCAGTTTGGGACAAAAATTGGAATAAAGCAAGTGCAAGGAATGTGTGTTTTATAGTTAAAGGAAGATGTATTTTGATAACCCAGTTTGCTTTTTTTCTCTTGGAGAAAAAAAAACAAAACAAACAAAAATCATTAAATATGGAAGGAGAGGGGAGAGTACTATGGAGCAAGCAGGGAGATTGGTTTTATCATTCAATATGTTAAAGTGATATCGGTGGTGCTGCCCATTGGGAAAGTTACATATATTACATTGTGTTGGAATTTTTTAAAGCATGTAAATTTTAAAATGTATAATGAAGTATATGTATCTTATGATTGTTTTTCCTTCAACCAAGAGATGTTTGTAAATTTCAGTTTTAACTTGTTTATAACGTTTATTTGTTGTTTGAAAATTATGCTTCTCCGAAAATGTGTGGATAAAATAAAAGCTCTGTACTCATTAATTAGTATTTTAATTATTTAGCTTTGTATATAATAGGTTTTTGTGTCTTAATGAAAACACCTCACTATATCTATCTTGCTATTGGATCTTACTTTGTAATACGCCTGCAAATATCGCTAAATTGTTGGCCCATGCTACCTCAAGTGAAGATCTTAGATGTGAGATTTGACACTCCCTTCCCTTGGCTGTTTGTGTTTCTTGGAATTCTGAGAAACAGACCAGTCTGTGCTGTCATGGTTGTGTTTGCAGGCAAGACTCTTTAACTCCTTTGCTCTGGATGGAATGTGATGAACCTCCAGTATGTTGTTCAGAGAGGTAGCAACCAATAACTGCAAGGAGAGCCTGCTTCAAAGGAACCAGGCAGTTGATAAAGTGAATAACCAGGCTAGCAAATAAACACAAGTATCTACAGAGTTTCTGTGACTAGTTCAGTGTCTTGTATTGATATTAGCCTGTCTACTCTGTTTGATGGTAATTCACAGATAATATAGGTTCTCCTGATAAGGTGGTACTTTTGTAGGAGTAGAGTTTTCTGTTTAGTTTTGCTATTTGTATGAGCAGGAAATATTATGCCTGTATGTACACAAATAACTATGGTCAGCTGCATGTGTACAATGATATGTAAATGTATATATAGAGTGATTGTGTACATCTATATATACAGTGATTGTGCACATCTATATACTCAGTGATTGTGTACATCTATATACACAGTGTTTGTGTACATCTATATACACAGTGATTGTGTACATGTATATATACAGTGATTGTGTACATCTATATACACAGTGATTGTGTACATGTATATATACAATGTTTGTGTACATGAATATATACAGTGTTTGTGTACATGTATATATACAGTCTTTGTGTACACAGTGTTTGTGTACATGTATATATACAGTGATTGTGTACATCTATATATTAAGTATTTGTGTACATGTATATATAGTGTTTGTGTACATGTATATATATAGTGTTTGTGTACATCTATATACACAGTGATTGTGTACATGTATATATACAGTGATTGTGTACATCTATATATACAGTGATTGTGTACATTATATACAGTGTTTGTGTACATATATATATATATACAGTGATTGTGTACATGTTTGTGTACTATATATATACAGTGTTGTGTACATCTATATATACACTGTTGTGTACATATATATATATACAGTGATTGTGTACATATATATATAGTATATATATATATACAGTGATTGTGTACATATATATATACAGTGATTGTGTACATCTATATACACA